CTTCATGTGACCAGCTTCTTGTGACAAGCACATTTTCCTTCTGGCCGACTTGTTTCAACCATGAGTTGCAATATTTCTGGCGAGAAGCCTAAGGCTTATTCTAAAACACGTTGCTTCAGTTTTTTACTCCTAATTTCAAAGTTGTTAGATTATACATTTTTTAAAAGAAATTCTGAATAAAAATTGTTGGATGTTGAGTTTTTTTATGGGAAAAAATATATTATATATACATGAAGAGATACATCTAACCCTAGTTATAACAATGGCAAGTGACTAGCTCCGCATCTTTTACAAATAGCCCCCAGTGGCACAGTGGTATGTCTGCGGAATTACAACGCTAGAAACCAGGTTTCGAGACCCGTGGTGGGCAGAGCACAGATAGCCCGTTGTGTAGCTTTGTGCTTAATTCCAGACAAACCAAACCAAAATCTATCGGATTCACTAATTAAGAATTGAAACGGATATTACCCTCAGATATCGTTGCTGTATGGACATAGGCAGTGTCAGTGTAAATCAATCCACTGTATCTATGTAAAATAAACAGGTTTCGGTAAACTTTATCATCATTGCTCATCAAATAACATGTACTGCTTATCAAATAAACAAATTTCAAACAGGTTTTTAACATGGTTTACTACTATATATTAAGTTATCTTGACTTCAGCTTTTACATTTTGAAAATGCATTTCTTCTACTGAAATTTGTAAATGTATTTATGATATATAACAGTTCTACTAACAAATAAATACAAAAACGACTTAAACATTTTTTTTGTAACAAGTTTGGTTTTAATGTTTTGACTTATTATCCGACGTAAGAATCCTTTAGATGTTGCGATTAACAGTAGCTGCTGTGCTACCTCTAACATTACACACGCATATATCTTTGTTTCGATTCTCTCTGAATGTTCAGTTCACAGAATTTAATTATACGAGATTTGTATAACTTCATATCCCTTCACAATACGACTGATTTTTTTAGTACTTTGTCTGATTGTTAAAAGAACGTATAAATTCACAACCTTATACAAGACACGCTTATTTTCATGCTATTTGTGCTCTCTAAAAACTCGTTTAAGCTTTATTTTAGTTTATCAGAAAAATATTTACTTTTTTCTTTCATTTTATATTCACAACTGTCTGCGGGCAGTGAAGGGTGATATAGATGAGGGATGTTGTGGGCTTGTTTCCCCACATGTTTCTCTCCAAAAGTATTATTATTTTTCTTGGTTATTTCTTTAACATATGAAACAAACGAACGAAGGTTAAGACTGGTATATCCCCACCGCTATGTGGATATTAATTCTGAAGTCACTACCAAAATTCGGGGAATATCATATATTCCACATTATAGCCTGCACCCTGATGATCTTTTTAATATATGCAGCGTTTTTGTTGTAGTTGTTAAGGCCTACTTATATAATTAAAATATATTATTTATAGTAGAAGCTGAAATAGCAGGAGTGTGTGGTAAGTTTGTCAATATCTTTGGTGCAAAATTGACCTCGCCTCCCTTCTCAGAAACACATTACAACGAAAATGTTCATGGTTGTCTTACTGAGCACAACCAATGATGAAGTAGTTCCAAGGGCAGCCCATGACTTGGATCGTGGTTTGTATAAAATTCGTTTATTAACTTGACGAGTTTGATGTGAAGATAACAAACGTTATCTAGAGAAGGCACTCTAACTATGAAAATACACAAGTATAATTGCTATGTGATGCATTTAGAGAAAGTGCGTTACACAATGAAAAAGCTGAGGAAGTATCTAAAAATTTTAACATTTACTGTAGACAAATTCTTTGGTTTTGTTTGTTTATTTGTTATTAAACACAAAGCTACACAAAGGGCTATCTGTGCTCTGCCCACCACGGGTATCGAAACCCGGTTTCTAGCGTTGTAAGTTCGCAGACATATCGCTGTGCCACTGGGGAGCAAATTCTTTGGAAAACTTAATACACAAATCTAAGAATAACGTGTTATGTAGAAATAAAAATATTAAGAAAGATAATATATATAAGATATATTTTGCATTCTCTCAAACAGCAGTCATAACTGGAATTCTTACCACATGTATTTGGTGGCACGGCGCTAAGTCTGCTGGATCCTTTTCCTTCCCCGAAGAAGTATTTTCAAGAAACGCTGATTGGCTAGTTGATGTGGCATAAACAATTCGTTCTTTTATGAGACGATATTTGTGCGCAGGTTTAGATCAGTCTGACATACTTTTCTCTGAAAATACGACTTTTGGGGCAGAAAAAGAAGAGGACATAGCTCGAAACACAATCAACAAACTGTAACATCTAAAGGTAACGTTAGGTAAGAAATTATCACAATGTACATATTATAGATAAGCTCTTTATTGTACCAATTAATTAAGGAAGCATTATTATTCCAGAAGAGAATGTAAAATATCGTATATTAATATGTGATTTAATAAAATGTGGGAATTCTGAAGATTAAATTTTCTAGAAAAAAGTGTCATTATATATAATATAAAGAACGAAAGATAGTGAAGTTAGATAAGTTCTTATTCTCTATCTAACACAGTAAAACGTGTTCGCGCTTCACTGATTCATTTGATTTTTTTTTTACAGATCTAGGTATTGTAAGAGATGTTGGATATTTACTAATCATTAACTACAAGTAACTCGTTTTGTTTTGTGATTCGAATCAGATGTGAGCAATGTGTGTTATTATGAAAACTTGAATAGTAGACCAGATCAATTGGACGTACATTAAACGGTGCTCAGTAAGTGATGTGTGATTACATCGTAAGGATATTTATTGTTTTTGTTGTAATTACAAAAGCGCATACAGATATAATTCGAGTCAGAGTAATAATTACTTTATCAGAATTACTCTCATTCTTGCAAGTTTTTACAGCAATTTTTTGTTTCATATGTATGTCCACCGTTATTTCACATACATGCATAATTACAAATGGTTAAACTCACCGAGAACTACAACTGAAATTTACAAAATGTACTTAATCCATGACTTCTAAAGTTTGATCTCGTATAAAGGTCTCCTTATCTTTTTAAATTGAAAAAAATATATGGTGCATATAATACGAGATTCCAAAAATACTGTGCCTGTCATTTTGTGAAGACTAGTATGTTTTCAATTAACTAATAAATAATGTCGTTTATTTTACAAGAGAATTGTCGTTTTTCATAACTATAAAAACTACCACTTGTCTTAGACGTAATGTTAACAGCTTTTAAATGCCCCTCAGTGGCACAGCGGTATGCCTGCGGACTTACAACGCTAGAAACCGGGTTTCGATACTTGTGGTGGGCAGAGCACAGATAGCCCATTGTGTAGCTTTGTGCTTAATTACAAACAAACAAACAGCTTTAACTCGTAATACATTGGCTGATGTACCCGTTCACAGGGTCGAACCGATGTTTAATGGTGTCCCGTGCCACATATAAATTCGGCGCCCCCCAAAAAAACATCTTATTATTCTAAATATTTACAATACCTTATATAAACTATTATAATCATTACAAAGTATAATTTTGAGAAATATATATATATATTGTGCAATTTATCGTTAAGCACAGTTTGAGTTTACAATATAACCAACCACTGAATTCTTAGTAAACAAGCTGAAGCTACACATGTGTAACTTCCGGGAAGTTGACTGTTTGTAAGCACACATACAACAGGCAATATCGATCTATTCGTACCATCGGACCCGCCATGACCAGATGGTTAGGGCGCTCGACTTGCAATCTGAGGGTCGCGGGTTCGAATCCCCGTCACACCAAAACATGCTCACCTTTCAGCGCACATGGCCCTCGTGTAGCTTTGCGCGAAATTCAAAAACAAATCGTCCCATCGGCAAGGGCTACCTTGATACAGGCAAGCAGCCGGTAGTTCATTTTGTTAGTCAATTCATGGGTAAGACATTGGGGTGGGATCTGAACTCGTTTGTATGTCTTTCAGTATCAATTTGTCTTTGTGGTGTGACGGATTTATTATTCTATATTTATTTTAATATTTATGTTTGTTTAAATTAAATATATATTTTGAAATGTACATAACGTATACCGTTAAATCTGTATTGCGAAACTCCCACGTATTCTCTAAACTTGTAGAAGATTATCGAGTATAAGCCAGACTAGTGTGGGCCAGACTAGTTTCGGAGAATGCTCAACGTTTTTCCTTTTAAACATTCTTGTACCATTAATACAGGGAAATAACAGTAGTTTAGTAAAGTAACAGTTATGTTACTTAGAGTTTTAAATTTATATAAAATAAAAGCGAAACACCAAACGGTTACATTCAACGCACTAGACACTTCTTAGAAGGGAATTTACAGTCAACAGGGGCCCGGCATGGCCAGGTGGATAAGGCGCTCGATTCGCAATCTGAGGGTCGTGGGTTCGAATCCCCGTCATACCAAATATGCTCGCCCTTTCAGCCGTGGGGGCGTTATAAAGTGACGGTCAATCCCACTATTTGTTGGTAAAAGAGTAGCCCTAGAGTTGGCGGTGGGTAGTGATGACTAGCTGCCCTCCCTTTAGTCTTACACTGCTAAATTAGCGCAAAATTCAAAACAAACAAACAAAAAAACAAACAATACCATCAACAGACTAAAGGTATGTGTTTCCTTTCTTTAAAATTAACAAAACTGATATAGCACAGCGAGTGTGCTGTACCTTATTCTTTTGTAACTAAGTTGAGTGTGTGTGTGTGGGGGGGGGGGTATTTTAATCCCGTTTACGTCACACTAGAACAGTGTTCGCTCAGTCACGGAACGTTGTGTAGTTTATTTTTGTGTGTTGTCAGTCTCCATTTAACTTTTTTTTTTTCATTCTTACAAGAGCAAGGTGTTTTATTTTAACTGATCGGTTATTTGGAATATGACCTTCGGCTAAGCTCATTGCTACACGTGTTCGTGTGTTTATGTAATAATATGCGATTCAAACATCCTTTTCCTTCTCCGAGGAAGTATTTTCAAGAAACTCTGATTGGCTAGATGATTTGGCGTTAAGAGCTTGTTCTATTATAAGAAGATAGTTGTGCGCAGGTTTAGATCTGTTTGTATCTGTGCCTTCTGACATACAGCTTTTGGGGCACGAAAAGAAGAAGACGTTAGTGTTACACGGTCAATAAATTTCGACATCAAAAGGTAACTTTAGACAAGAAATTATCACAATTTATTACAGATAAGATCTTTACTGTACCAATTAAGGAAGCATCAGTATTCCAGAAGAGAATATAAAATATCGTATACTAATATATGATTAAATAAAATTTACGAGATTGAAAAAAGTTAAATTTTCTAGAAAAAGTGATATTAATATTTCGTATCATGATAAAATCCCTATAATCTGAGTGCTTTCGAAAGGTGGAAATTTCTTCTTTGTTCCTGAAGAAGAAAGGTCCGCCTTTCGAACGCTCTCGGATTATAATTTATAGGTTTTTTTTATCATTTGGTATTAAGACTTCTTGAACCTACGCGTTTTTCTGACATCATGAATTTATAATATGAAATGTTTATTTTAAATTATATTTTTAATTAAAAATTATAAATATAAGGTTATATGTTAAGTAAATAATTAAAATGTTTTTCAAAGTACAAAAGACAGCGAATTTAGATAAGGTTGTAGATCAACTTTTGTTCTCGAACTAAAATTATATATGACGTTATAAGTTTACTTAATAGATGTTCAAATGAAACATTTTCAAACTTTACTTCTGTAGTCTAGGTTGATCCAGATCATAATTTAAAACTAAAGTGCTTGGAAAGTGGTGAATACATTTGTTCAATTAAACGATAAGATTTTCATTAACATAATTAACAATGAAACCTCTTTTGTTCCAAACCCCTTGTTACTTATCACTTATCAATCTTTTTTTTCTATTTTCCCCCATACAATGATACAGATCCCCTTCCTTTAGTTGTATGTGAACAACTCTATTGTTGGCTCAAACTGGATCCATTTACTGATATTCTTTGGATTATACTATCCTCCAGTATGGATGATTTTTTTGGACATCCTATTTTGGTAGTAGACGGTGAACTCCCTGTCATGCTGCATCATACTCTAATATTATTTAAGTAGCACCTTTTGAAATACTAAGTTTTGAGCAATATGTACAATTGCATTTTCTTTTTATTATACAAGCAATGTGTGCCCATGCTTCACTACTTCATTTTCAGTTTTAGCCATGGTAACTTCCAACGTGTAAAGAGATGTTGGATATTTACTAATCACTCACTTCAATTAAGTCTTTGGACTTACAACGCTAGAAACCGGGTTTCGATACCCGTAGTGGGCAGAGCACAGCTATCCTATTGTGTAGCTTTGTGCTTAATTTCAAACAAGCAAGCCTCGGTTGTAAGGGATTTATAATGGATGTGAAAAATAAATGCATTATTATGAAAACAGTGGATCAGATAAATTCGATGTACATTGAATGGTGCTCGGTAATTGACGTGTAATTACATCGTGAGAATCTTTATGAAATGGATTATTGTTTTCATTGAAATTACAAAAGCGTATGTAGATATAACTCGTGTAATAATTACTGTTATCAACATTACTCCCACTAGAAGTTGCAAATGTCTTACTTTATTTTACTTTAATTTTTACTACCAGAACAAAATGTCGTCATTTCCGAATATGGGATGCATGGCGCCAATTGTAGGCCCAGTAAAAAAGGCTGACCAGTGGAAAGGAATTAAAGAAAAGTTTGATGGTAATAAAGATTCTAGTAACACTCAGGATACTCAGCGACAGAAGTCGAGCTCTTCACAGCAAAAGGGCGATTCAAGTAACGCAAAATAACGAACATATGAAAGATTTTTTTACACACGACTGGAAAATGGGCCTGTTTTCTTTGTTTCTCACCATACACATTAGATACCCATAATACTGCTCTCATATAAAGATTTCTGAATGCATTAATATATTTTCGAATATTTTATGATTTATTCATCCTTATTATGCAATATTATTTTTATGAACTGGAATATATATATATATATTATAATGCATTCAATATTGTTGCATGGGATATTTTTTCCAAATGTACTTTGTAATACAAGACTTATAAATACTGTGACTCTGTACTTTTTGTGAAGAATAATAAATTTTTATTTTGGTAAATAAAGAATATTGTTTATCGTACAACACTGTTGTCATTTTCATATTATAACAATAAAAAGTACCATTTGTCATAATCGTAATGTTAACATCTGTACTCTATAATACATAAAGTTCTAATTCAAGAAAACTAATCGTAATTAAATGGTGCTGCACAATTTGGACTGTTTATAATTAAGCACAAAGCTACACAATGGGTATCAAATTCTAATTTTTGCTTATTTTTTTTTTATGGTAAATGTCATTAATGCTTAAAATTTAAAACAAAAGTATCACTTAAATAAAGTTACGCTTTACTCCTGAATATATATAAAGTAATAGAAAAATTTTGCCTTGACTTTTA